TGAGAGGTTGAGCGCCTGTTTCAGCATATAAATAGAGTTTTATGGGCCCCCAAACCCCATTCTACTCATTCAGGCCCCTTTTTTTTGGTCAACCCCGAACTTATGGCCTTGAAAGCCTAAGCCCAACAATCTACTTACACCTTAACTTTTAGGGTTTAGGGTTTGGGGCTTAGGGTTTAGCTATAGTCTCCATTGTAGTTCCTTTTTGGGGATACCTTATAAGATCCTTAATATATACTTGGTTAAACCAAAAAAGGAACTACAATGGAGACTATAGGTAGGGTTTAACAGGAGTGACCAAGACCCCCAGGAGAAGACCGACTCCCCAATAGTTAATGCAGTGGTCTCAACAATTACCTATATCATTTTAAAGAGTTCCAGATTATAGATATATGATGGAGAAACCCAAAACCCTATTTTAATTGTTAAGGCCCCTATCTTAGCCACGATTACCGTGTTCTTTTGGTAGTCTCGTGGTGAAATCTCTGAACTAACCCCTTAACTCTAATCCCTAAACCCTAAAGCCTCGAGGCACCGGAATTTGTTGAGATCGTCACCGACAACTCATCGCATCCGCTTGCAGCCGTGGCCACGTGCTCAGATTCGTGGGAGCTCGGGTCGGGTTTTGTTCAGGGTTTAGGGGATAATTTTTAGGGTTTAGGGGTTTAGGGTTGAGGGTTTAGGGTTTTAGGGTTTAGGGCTTTAGGGGTGTAGGGTTTAATTTTTAGGGTTTAGGGGTTGAGGGTTTTAGGGTTATAAATAGGGTTTAGGGTTTAGGGTTTAGAGATGCGGGATTGAGCGTTTACGGCATATTGTTGCGTTAGAGGGTTTAGGGTCTGGGGGTTTTCCGTAACATTCCTAAAACCTGCTGAAACGCTAAACCCTACACCCAAGTCACAATCACAAGAGTTTAGGCAGCTAATGTCAATGTAGGAACCTGATTAAGAGAAACCCTGGTCCTATAAGCGATTAGGATCCACCTAAAGGACCCTGATAAAGACCCGTGGTTTCTTAATTAATCAGGTTCCGATATTATCCAAACCCTAGATCCTAAACCCTAGACCCTAAACCCTAAAAACGTATATAGGAGCTCAGGTAAGAGCCCATATTACCGCCTTCCTGCCTACTATAGGGGTCTCAGTGTTTACCAGCACTATTTTGGGCGTTCCTTCACATAACATGGTATATCACACCCCAAAACCCTATTCTAATTACTACCCCTAGGCCCCAGAGTAGTTCCTTTTTGGGATTACCTAATAGGACCCTAAATATAAGCCACAAAAAGGAGCTACTTTGGGGCTTATGGGTAAGGCCCCGATATTACATGATGCGCAGTGATGGTCAACAGCTCGGGACTCTGCAGAGGCGGCGCATGAGTTCAGCAGCCAAAGCTTGGTGGTGGATAACCCCCATTGAGGGCTTATAACCCCAATTGTACCCTAAACCCTCAACCCTAAACCGTCAACCCTAAACCCTAAACCCAAACTGTAGCCCCGCTTATATGTTCCCTGAGCCCTTAAGTCGTGCTTCTGAACCCGAAACCCTTGCCATGGAGTGACAAGTGCCCGTCCACCCAGAGCTCAGAGCGCTTGGGCTCAAGGACATAAAAAAAGGGGCCTTAATGATTAGAATAGGGTTATTTTGGGTTTCCCTGAAAGGGTTCCTTGAAGGGTTACGATAAGGGTTCGGGTCCAGGGGCCTTAATAATTAGAATAGGGTTTTGCGGCCCACTATACTATAATTATCATAAGGAGTCCCCAAAAATAGTATTGGTAATTTAGGCCCCTACACTACTCTTTACTGGTACTACCGGCAATGACAGACTGATGCGGGTTGCATTGTTGATTAGCTAGGGAGGTTATGCAGCTTCGTTGTCCCTAAATGAATGTTTAGCAAATGCAATCAGCAATACCGTTCCCTAGTGCCCGAATAGCATTATACTGGAACATGCAACCAAGCCTGATTCCAAGAACCCTGAACCCTAAACCCTAAACCCTTAAACCCTAAACCCTAAACCCCTAAACCCCAAACCCCTGCATTAATGCTTGGAAAATTGCATTCCTACCCACCGCCACAGGTCGACCTCTCGCAGCTGAAGTTTAAAGACCGCGATGTGTTGCAGGAGGGGTCTGGGCTGAGGGTTTAGGGATAAAGTTCCTTTGGGGGTAATATGGTGGGTCTAAATGATCATTACCTATACTATTTTGGGGGTTCCTTAGAATATTTATAGTATAATGGGCCGCAAAACTCTATTCTAACGACTAAGGCTTCCACATTAAGCTTACCATATTGACAAGGACTTCAAGGGATGGCCCTCTCGACGTGGGAGCGCTGGTTTAGTTGAAGCTTCTTCGGGCATAGGGATTAAAACCGAAGCCCCAACCGCGGCTTAAGACGGTTTAAGTATGGTAGTAGGGGTTCTCTCAAATCCTCTTTCCCACAGTCATCATCACACCACCCACCCCCACCAGACCCCCGGACCAGCAGACCATCAGACCACCAGACCACCAGACCACCACAGCACTACCATCGCCACCACCACCACTGCCACCACCACCACCAACAGAGACTACAAAGACAGCCAGGACCACCACCAGCAGCAACACCACCGACATCGCCGCTTCTGTATTTCAAGGACAGTGGTACGCGTGAAGAAAGTAAATGCTATACTAACTTTAGAACACTGCTCACCTGTCGACCATGATCAATCTGTCTGTATAGCCATCAAGTCATCAACGAACCCGTTTTTTGTCCAAGCGAAGCCCTCCAAAAACAGCATCTTGGCGGCGACATTCAAATTAAACCCTGAATACAATGGCTCATAGTGTCGCACTTATAGCTAGCAAGAAACCACGAAGCAGAGTTTGGCGTGCGCAGCATTGGGTTTAGGGGGTTAGAGTCGTGTATTTTCGGGTTTAGGGTGCTGTGTATTGTATCCCTTATAGTAACCGTAACCGTAACTGGGTCCTTGTTGGTTACAATTCTACAGAATAAAACCCAAGAAGGATTAAACAATGATCATGTTTAATATCGCCCAACAGGGAACCAGGTAACCCTACAGCATACCTTAAGGACCCGAAACTATGGGAATTATGGTAAGTTCCTTATTATGGGTAATGCAGGATTTATCCTACATCCCTTCGCCAGGACGTCTTCAAAGGCCGGGCTTCCTCTCTGCTCTACTTTTGGTTTCATCTGCGGGACGGCTGGGCTGAGCGTATGTCTGACTTCGATGTCTGAGGACCCCTTTTTCTCTAAATCATGAGAAGGCCCCTATATGGGGGTTTCCGAAAATAAGGGGTACCTTATTTCGGGGTCCTTATAATAAGGATCCTACTATTTAGGGTACCTTATGAGAGGCAGAGGGTCTATGACCTAAGAGATCGACTTAGGCCATCCAGGCGGCCTTGTCCTGCTTACATGCATCTTCTTCCCCTTCTAGCGTGTTTGGGGTTTAGAGGTTGAGTGTTTTCCGAAGCTGCAAGGCCCTACAACATCAAAAGCTCCGAGGTCGTGAGTTCGTTTTCCAGTGCGCAACTTTGAACTCTTTGGCTCCCTTCAAAGCAGTCTTAGCCTAGATGCCAAACCCCAAACCCTAAAGCCTTGCTGGGGGTGCCAGGCATAACCAATACTATAGCTTAGTGGACTTGCCTCCGTCTGCGCGCGCAATGAACTAAGCTACACTCCCTTAGACCCCTCAAGCGTTTAGAGTTTAGGGTTTAGGGCCCTTAACTCTAAGGCTTCAGGAATCCTCATAGCAGCCTTCGAGGGACCATCGCAGACCCTTACAGTGACCCTTTTTGTTAGTTGTAAGTAGGCCTTCGACCCCAAAGAGCTTGAAACATGCATCTAAAATCCTCTAAAGCCTTTTTTAGGAGCCCTCATACGGTTGATGATATAAATCCTGCACTATCCATTATAAGGAATATACCAGAATTCCCATAGTCTAGGGTCCTTAAGGTACTGCAGGAGTTATACCGTCCACCGTAGTGGCCCTTAATCCCTAAACCCTGCTCTACCCTTATAAACCCTACAACCTCATCGTAGTCCCGAATCTCGAAAGCCTCATAGTAGCCCCTTATTTCTGAGGTTAGAACTATGGGCCCTAAAAGGGACCCTTGGGCCTTTCCAGGGACCCTTAAGGGTACATATAGGGTATATAGTAGGTGTATAAGGATGCCAGGGTTAAGGGCCCATACCAGGGGCCCATGGTTTCAACCTTAGATTATTAAACCCTAAACCCCTAAACCCCTAAACCCCTAAACCCCTAAACCCCTAAACCCTAAACCCTAAACCCTAAACCCTAAACACCTAAACCCTAAACCCTGAAGCCTAGATAACGCCCCATAGTAGCCCCTTATTCAACGGGGACCCTTCAGGCTGGTTCCGGGATGTAAACTCCCCACCTGTAGTTTCCTTGACCTTATTAAATCCCTAAAGCCTCATAGTAGCCCCTTCCTAAACCCTGAACCCCAAACCCTAAACCCTAAACCCTAAACCCTAAACCCTAAACCCTAAACCCTAAACCCTAAACCCTAAACCCCAAACCCCAAAGCTCAAGGGACCCTTCAGGCTGGTTCCGGGACGTTCCCTTCGACGTCGAGGCGCTCCGAGAGCAGCGCCTCGGCTCGGCTCGGAAGATTTTTTTTGGGTTTAGGGTTTAGGGTTTAGGGTTTAGGGTTTAGGGTTTCGGGGAGCTCTCGGCGGAGGAGGAGAGAAAACCAGCACCCCAAAAGGTTTAGGGGTTTAGGGTCTAGGGTTTTTAGGGTTTGGGGGTTTTTAGAGTTTGGGTTTAGGGTTTAGAGTTTAGGGTTCCAGCATTAGAATAGGGCCCTTTAAAGGGATGCTTAGAGGGTTCTATATGGGATCTATAAGGGTTTAGGGCTCAAGTTTAGGGTTTGGGCTTAGGGCGGAGAAGGAGAGAATCTCAGAGAGCCCAATACCCCTTAAATAAGGAATATAGCTTAAATTTTCAGGGGCCTTGATATTATGGTTTAAGGTATATTCCTTGATTAAGGGGCATTGGGGTCTCTGGGAAACTAGCACCCCAAAAGGCTGTCTGGTGCTTAGTAGGGAATGGGGGACTGGGTTTTAGGGACTACTATAAGGGACCTTAAGGGACTATCGTAGGGATCCATTCCCCCAAAAAAGGTTTAGGGCTCAGTTTAGGGTTTGGGTTTAGGGTTTAGGGTTTAGGGCTAAAGTCTAGGGTTTGGGCAAGTGCCCTTTAATAGAGAGGCCAAAATGGTCCTTCATCGTGAGTACTTAAGCTCCAACAAGCGGTAACTGGAGGGTGTTGGTAAGGTTTGGGGTTTGGGGCTTGTAGGGTTCAGCGTTTAGGGTAATGGTATTCTGGTCTAGTTTACACCCCAAAAGATGTAAACGTAAGGCTCCAGGATTTACGGTTTATGGTCAAGGGCTTTCCGTTCTTTCCATGGGATCGCAAAGTGTTGCATGAAAGCTTCTCCTTACGTTACAAGGCTTCACCTAGATCTTGAATTTTCCATCCGTTTATAGACTAAGGCAACGAAAAGGCGCTCCACCTTGGGAGCGAAAAATCTAGTATCCAGTGTCGGGGTCGCAAGAATAAGTCAGCACTCCTCATAGTATACCCCAATGTGAGCATGGTGCAAAAACACCCAAAGCCAGTTTCGAATGATTCTGGTTCTGTATGAAGGGGTGTAGGACTACAGGATAGGCGGTAGTGGGTACTGAGTACAAGCGCTTCGGGGTTTACTGTAGGGTGTTTGGGTCTTGAGTTCAGGGTTTCGGGTAGGTTGAGGGAGTTATCACTGTGCTCACTGTTGCAGCTACCCCTAAACCCTAAACCCTAAAACCCTAAATCTGTCGCCTAAGAGCTTAGGAACTTCAAAGCTTGCAAGCGCTTCGCGCTATACCAACGCAGCACGTCGCAGACAAAGCTAAGTTGTGATTTCTTAGGCATGGCATCCCTCTATACCCAGAGAGCCCAATACCCCTGAATTAAGGAATATAGCTTAAATTATAATATCAAGGCCCTTATAATTTAAGGTATAACTCCTGAACCCTAAACCCTAAACCCTAAACCCGAAAGCCTATTCCGTATAAATTCTCAGCTCTCGTGATCCCCAGGCGCTGTCGGGGCTACTACAGAGCCAGGCGAGCCGGGCTTTGGGGAGAAAGGATTTACGGCGCCTTAGGGATCGATTAGGGGTGCTACAGCCCTTTGGGTTTTGATAAGGACTACAGCAGGATTCCTGGTCTGTAGGGTTTGGGGAAGGGTGCTTTAGGCTCCAGGTTTAATATGCGGACTGAAATAGTTACCAATGCTATTTTGCTGGGGCTCCTTATCATATTTATAGTATCATGGACACCAAAACCCTATTCTAAGTATTAAGGCCGATACATGGGCGGGGGGGGGCTGGCCTGGAGATTTGTGTTTAGGGTTGGGCGTTTGAGGTCGAGCAGGGTTCGGGTTTCGGTGGCGGTGCAGGTGGTCCTTTTGCTTGCCACGGTTTAGGGTTTAGGGTTTAGGGTTTAGGGTTTAGGGAATGCTGTTGATCAGGGTTTAGGGTTTAGGGCAATTGCTTTGCTGGCTTTCGTAGGGTTTTCTGGAGGGTTTTCATGTGGTTCTTTGTCAGCTTTCCTGCAGCAAGTTTTGCAATGCTTGACACTGCTCCATAAATCCTAAACCGCAGAAATTCTAGACCCCAAACTCTAAGCACCCTATACACCTCTGATGAATGGAGGGCTTGAACGGCTACGGTAAACCCCGAGGCGTTGAGTAATCAGATATGAAACCCAGCCTCAGATTTGTAATACTAGTCTTCAGTGTTCCTTGTTATTTTCATAGTCCTACATTCTCGACATACACCCAGCACTCCGTGATAATCACCCTATATCAAGCACATGCTTGAGGGTTTCACATCAAGTCCCACACCATTTGCGATTCAGGGTTTGCTTTTCGCTCGCTGCGGCAGCCAGGTACGATCACCGCAAGAACCTGATGGACTACGACTACCAGACTTTCATCAAGGAAGCAACGCTTCAAATCCTAAACCCTAAACCATAAAGCCCTAAAGCCCTAACCTAAGAACTAAGCCCTATGCCACAAATCGCGAGCCACGGCCTGCAGCCTCAACTTCCGAATGGCAAACTGATGTAGACCTCTGCTTCGTAAGCTCCCGTCCGCCCTTTAGGGTTTAGGGTTTAGGGTTTAGGTATCCTGACATTCACAGGGTTCATAGGGGGTATTGTGGAGGGGGCCCCCTATGATGAACCCTGTGAGATATTATAAGGGACCCTGGACAACGGGCGTTGTTTGATCAAGGGGCTACATTGCTTCTTACAGAAGTATCAGACACAGAGATGTTGCAGATCAGTCTGATAACATCCACCTAGCATGGTGCAAGTGCTATAAACCCTAAACCCTAAACCCCTAAACCCTAAACCCTCAACCCTAAACCCATTGAGCCCTGGTCCCTTGCAAGCTGCATAGGCATCCTCATCCCGAACCCCCTATGGCATTACCAGAGCCCTCTGCAGCTGGCGATATCGGAGATTACATAATGGTACATGATCAGTCATATGGGTAGTTTTTTCAAAATTAGGGTCTTGTTAAGGGTCCTTCTTATAAGGGTGCCGTACTATATTGGGGACCAAAAAAGGGACCCTAATTTAGAGAACTACCCATATGATTCCCCTGTTGTTCCTTCATGATTCTTCTTTTTTTTGGGATCTACTTTCTCAGGCCCCTATTTTAGTTTCCATGCAGAGTTGAATCCTTCTTTAGTTCTGCTATGGCATGCGACATGTCCACACCGAAATGCTGAAGTGTCCTGTAGAATTTTGGGTACACAGTGTGTTTTCTATATATATATATACATATATATATACATATACACACATACAGTCTAACCGGCAAACGTAAGCAACAGTGAAGGAAGTGGCTGGCATCATCCACTGGTTCCACTACAAGCAGCCGCCTGTCCATGTTTTCGGTTGCCTTTTCCTCAATTCCCTGAAGGCTTCAACCCTGTCAAGATCAGGAAACTTCGTACTCAGACCTACAGTATATACGAGATCGTGGGTTCCTAATATAGGTTCGCTACGAGAGAACAGGACACCTGGTCTAAGGGCCCTAATAATTACCTATGCTATTTCGGAGGGGTTCTTTGTGAGCATTATGTATAATCTACCCCAAAGCCCTATTCTAATGATTTAGGCCCCTACATTAACACGGATTTAGGGTTTACCCGTAGGAAGTCGGTTCAGGGCTTCAAGAGTTTGTGACGCAGGGCTCATGTTGGGTATTCTTGTGATTCCTTCAACATATTGGGGCTGCATTCTGGGAGACTAGCCATAAACAAAAATCAGTACTTCCTACAGAGGCCAGTTCTTAAAAGCAAAAAACAAGAAGCAACGCGGTGCCGCGATGGCCGTGGCAGTTCGGTGGCAAGCATGACAAATACGCAGCTTTCGAATTGGTGGAAAACATCAACTTTCCAAGAGAAACAGCCTGTGTTAGTGCGAGTGCTGATACAAAGCCTAAAACCTAAAGCCCTTGAAGCCGTCGGTTTAGGGGTTTAGGGTGGAGCAAGCCATAATCGCTAAACAAAACACTTTCAGGTTCGGGCACACCGGCGTGGCCTTCGAGACGCGGCTTGCGAGCTACGCCACGCCTAACCGGACGCTGGCGTATGGGACTCGGTCGTTGAAGATAGGCACAGTTTGGGGTTTGGGGTCAGGATTTGGTATTCAAGAGGTTTGGGGCCTTCGTGGCTTATCGTTTTTTAAGCCTTCCGGCGGGTATAGGGCTCCGAGTTTAGGAGTTTCTCGTTTTTTAGAGGTTATGATCGATGTTGTGCTGGTTGTCGTCAATTCAACATCAGGTCGCCATGCTCCGAGGCAGGCGAGTGTCTAGGCGACAACACCGCAGATGTCCATAAAGTCCTGCCAGACCTTGCTATGGCATTGTTGCATCTATATCTAGACTACACAAAAGAGAGTCGAGTTACAAATGTCCGAAAAGTAGACCCGAAGCCCGTACCACTTAGCCCAAAATCGACCCCCAAAGCCCTAAACCCCTAAAGCCCTAGACTCCTGGAGCCCTAAACCCCTAAAGCCCTAAACCCAAGAGGGGCAACCGAAGCCGCGCGCGCCCGATCCGCAAAGGTCCTACAACGAGGCGATGGACCGAACCAAAGGCACGACAGTCATGGCTCGGGCCGCGGGTCGTCTTCTTGCGACGATAAGATCGTTTATGGTAAATCCCAGAAAGTTGGAAACCGGATTAAGGACCAGCAGTGCTGGGATTCCCTATGCATGACTCTTAAGGATTGAGGCTATTGGGTTTCCAACTTTTAGGCTTCTACCCTAGGGTTTTGGGTTTAAGACCTCTTTGTTTGGGGCTCCTTGCAGGGATGTTCTCAGGGTGCTGTAAGTTGTTTTTTTGTTTAGGCCCCTAGGCCTTACGGTAATATAGGCGCCTTCATAATTCCAATAGGGTTTTGGGGCCCACTATACTATACTTATAATAAGGAAACCCCACAATGGTATGGGTATTTTTTTGGTCTTCATATGAGGCAGGTTTATCAATCAGGCGTCCACATCAAGAGGAGTGGTCTTCCTTGCGCTACAAGCTTCATTGGCATGTGAGCTGAATTCGCAATAACAGGTAAAACTCGAAAGGCTAGAGGCACTAGGCTGGTATTAGCAGCCATCCATTTAGCAGCGGCAACGAGGAGGAGAACAGCCTTGTCACGCAGTACGAGTAAGACTAGCATGGCTTTCCTGACAAATGCTGCTCGTACTGATCTGATCAATGCTACTGATATTGATCGTTGTGATGCAACAGGCAAAAAGGTTAGTAAGTTTGTGTACTAGATGATGCACCGTTCTGTGTTTGTACTCATGTACAAATGCGTAATACGTGTACACAAAAAACATGTACACAGACGTAGATGTTGATTTCACTTGAAGCATAGGCGCGGATTGATTTATCTCCCTGTCGGTCTGTTTGTTCATTTAATGACTGAGCAATGCTAATATAGAGACATCCTTACATGCATGAACAGCTCTGGACGTCCATGCATTGTCGTGCAGTTGTGTATGCATGCACGCATGCGTGCATGCCTGTATGCATGCACACATAAGACGTACCTATGTACGCACGTGTGTGTATGTGTATGCGTTGGTCTACGTAAGTGTCTGTCTGTCTGTTTGGCTGTCTGACTGTCTGTCTGTCTGTCGATGTGTGTATTTGCATATATGTATATATACATACATACACATGTCTGTATGTATGTGTTGTTGCAGGTACTGCGTGCACACATGTATGTGCACACCTATGTTACATAGGCTATGTACATGTGTGTTGGTGTTTTACATCTGTACGCATTCGGGTATATATCAATGAATGCAAACATAAGTACAGACATACATACATGTAAATATCATACATACGTACATACATACATACATACATACATACATACATACATACATACATACATACATACATACATACATATACATATATCCAGCATGCGTGCTTTTGTCTGCATGCCCACATTCATGTACCATGCATGTGTATGTCTCTGCGTGGAGTTGTTTTATTGGGTGAACGCTTCATGGACTCAGCTGTAGATAGCAGGGTTCTGGGACTTATGGAAAATCTTCCAAGGTGTACTGTTAGACGGCTTAACAGCATCGCCGGTTCCTGAATCTGGAGGTCCCCCCGACCTCTGCATTCAACAGTCGCTGCATGATCTGTATGGGGAAGCACCAAGCAGACGTCACGTCATCAAGGCCCAGACGGCGCTCAACATGAAAGCCGTACAGGATGCAGTCATTCTAGATTTTCCGCTGCTGCTTGACCTCGCGAAGCATCTTCCTACACAGGTGTCTTTGCTCTGCATAGACCGCTTCAGGAATGCTGCTTGCGGAGAAGTGGATGCAAGAAGGCGATTTGCAGTGGCTCTGCTCGCCTTCTCTGCGCGTCATCCACAAGGCAGCCGGATAGTCACGTTCGAAGCAGGTGTCGGCATGCTGGCTGCGGCTCTTGCCACTCAGAAAGCTGGCAGCGTGCAGTTGCTACGGGAAGCCTTGGCAGCCGTCTTTGAAGCGCGCGTCCTGGTGTCGAAAGGTGTCCGGGTGATGCGCGACTAGCATGCGCAGGTCCTGGACACCCCTTTGCCCACGATAGGCTTCTCTAGGTAGGCATGTCTGCGGATTATGGTGCAGGGCTTGAGGTGCGTGGCACTGGTGCCCTGCTGTCGTTGTTTTGAGGTTGGGTTGGCTGGCTTGGCTCTGCGAGGATGTCGACAGCTTGCACAAGTGACAGCACTGACTGCACTTCTGAACCAACCCTAGACCCTAAACCCTGAACCCTAAACCCTAAACCCTGAACCCTGAACCCTGAACCCTGAACCCTGAACCCTGAACCCTGAACCCAAACCCTAAGGCCCCCATAACCTTCAAGAGCCTGCAGCCTTACCACACCCGAAGACTTTGAGGGCCTCAGTTCGTGGACCATCAACTCAGTGCGGTAAGGTCCGTGGTTTTTGGGGCGACATCATCAACAGCCGGGGCGCCTGGAAGATACAGGAAGTAGGGGCTTTTGTGGGAAATTCCGGTCGACAGGAGTCGGCTGGAGTTGGACAGTGTACAAATCCTAAACCGTAGACCCCAGAAACATATTCTTTTCAGGGCTGCGAGGAGAGCCTTGCCTTCCGGTTTAGGGTTTAGGGTTTAGGGAATTGTTTGCTGTTCTCATCCTTCAGCTGAAGGTACCTAGCCTGGACCCTCCACCGACCCTCCATGAGACGCTAAAGATCCATTATTGGGACCATGCACCCCTATTTGACGGTACCAGGAGGGTCCAGGTAGAGTCCGGATGTTTCTCGCACTTGGAGGGTCGGAGGGCTCAGTAAGTAGGTTTCCACGAAGTAAGCAGGATCCTAATTGGGCTTATGGTACTAAATCTATAAAAGGTACCCTAAACCCTAAACCCCGAAACCCAAAACATAGAACTACTTACTACAGCCCCCAACCCTGCAGACATGAACAGTTTTACACCGTCAACCCTTCAACCCATACGAGAAGAAACTGCGCTAAAGCCTACAGCCCGGATCCGGCAACCCTGTACCCCAAAAACTCTTTCGAACAGAGAATAGACCTTATAGGGTTTAGGGCTTAGGGCTGCCTTGTATCATTCTAGTAACCCTATATAAACCCCTAAACCCGAAACCCTAAACCCTACATGAATATTGAAATCTTTGAGCGCATGGCCGGTCCCAGAAAGCGATTCGCCCCAATCAAATCTCTTGCGGCCGAGTCGGGCAGCGTCGCCACGGTTTCTATACTTGTTATTTATGGGGTTTAGGGTTTAGGGTCTAGGAGCAGCAAAACCCAAAGCCCTAAGCCCTAAACCCTAAACCCTAAACCCTAAACCCTAAACCCTAAACCCTAAACCCTAAACCCTAAACCCTAAACCCAAACCCCAAGCCCGTCGGGAAGTGAATCCGCCGGCCCCCGAGGTCCCTACCATGCCTTCTGCACGCGGACGGATCCCGAGGCCGCTTACCGTAGAAAGCTAGACAATGGTATTGCATAACGGCAATAACGGTTTAGGGTTTCGGGTTTAGGGTTTAGGGTTAAGGGTTTAGGGTTTAGGGTTTGAGGGTTAAGGGTTTAGGGTTCAGGGTTTAGGGTCTTCCATTTACTCGTGTAGCATTTGACCGGGCTATGGGCCAATCACTAGGGACCACGAGCCTCGGCTTGATTTGGCTGCAGCTCTGCCGCTTGGGGAGTGCAGCATGGGAAGGCGTCGTAAACCTCATCCTTGAACCCCCAACCTTGTCTCCTCAAGCTTAAAATCGAATCGTACGTAGGTATTGGATATGGCGCCCATACTTTGCAACGGTAGTTTCGCCTTGAGGTAAGCAAGTCCCAAACCGTAGTTACAACTAAAGCCTCTATAAACATAGCCGCCGAGGAGCCAGACCAGCCACATACGCCGCTCCCATGTTTCGACCCTAGCCCCTAATCTCTAAAGCCATCTAAATCCCTAAGCCCCGACTTTGCTCCTCGTTTATGAAGCACGAAGGTTCAAGGCATCGATGGCAATAGTCTCGCCAGGAACAGTGATGGTATCAGGAGGCGTGACAGCACAAAGCGAAGAAAGGCCAGGGTTAGTTCAACTTAGACAGTGAGCAGCCCCTTTGTTCTAGATGTTCAGTTCATGAGATGGTTTAGCCCAACACTTCGTCACTGAGAGCCTGGCAGCTTGCCACATTCCCCCCTCTTCTTGCGCTTCGGGCCAGGCATGCAGTGTGTTGCTGGAAGCCATTCTTGCATGGCCCGCTGCGGCCCATCCTGGAGAGATACTTGGCGGCGCCGTGCTAGCAAGCTACCTCAAGGTTCCGGCATTCTTGCTGCTTGCAGCTCCTTGTCGGGAAGCTGGGAGCCCTCCTGGCACTGTCGCCTCCTTGTCGGATCCCTTGCTTTATGTTCGCATTCCAGGCCGAAGCATGCCCATCTCTCACACCGACATCGCATGTTGAATCGGCCCGTGAAACAGTTCCGCTCGACGACCGGGCGCAGAGAAGAAGACTCTGACCTACGCTATGTGCTGTCCCCGACAAGATCTGCAGAAGACAAGCATGCTCGAGGGCGCAGCCCCGAAACGTCAGCCGTGCGGTCCCGCCTAAAAAAAGGCTAGATCATGTGCGAGCCTGCTCAACATTTTTCAGGATGCCGTTTCGAAGGATATGGTGGATGCAAGCGTGTTCGGAGCAGCTATGCAACATTGTGGGCAGAATCAGTGGTGGACTGGGCTTCTGGAGATATGGCGCCAGAAGGAGCACTTGTGCATGTCGTTCTTCTGCATCCAGCAAAGCATCTGCTTGAATGCATTAGCCTGCTGCTTAAGGTGCGATCGCACCCAAATCTCGGCACCACAGCTGTCAGAGCGCAAGGTTAAAGCCCTGGCATTGGCGAAAGTGGTTTTTCAAGAAAGGTCACCCCAAACACGCTACGAATTTAATTGCATTCTCAGTGCATCATTGAAGCTTTGCCATTTGTCTGGCACAGACGAGGCTTTCCAGTGGTCGGCGGAGATTCTGAATTGGTCCGAGAGCCAACCGTTTGATAAGACGATCGTGTCTTACGCGACAATTCTGATTGTGCTGGAAAAGCAGGGACGCTATGCTGATGTAGAAGATATCTTGGACAACGTCCTTCCCAACAGTGGGGATTTGCAGCCGAATGAGGTGGTGCTCGGTGGCTTACTTAATTGCGCCGCAGAAGTATGCGACTGGAAACGGGCCGACAAGCTATGGGAGATGCTGGTGAATCAGCGTGGGGTGCGACCGCACTCTTTGGCATATGATGCCTATGCCAAGGCTCATTTTTTGGCCGCTCGACCAACTGCGGCGGTAGCAATCATGCAGAAGATGGTCGACGCGGGCGTCGACCGAACAAACTATCGACACGCAGTGAATTACCTGCAGTATGCATTAGTTGCATGCTATGCATCTGGCGGCACACTCTACCGCCGTCGTCTGACCCGACACATTGCGAAGTGGTCTCAAAGTATTGCTCGTGAGTCGTCGGCCACAGGGAAGCGATGTTGGCATCAGCTTGCTAGAGCTGCGGACAAGCTGCTTTCTCAGCCCGACAAACTTAAACTGATCGAGGCATTTGTTACCTATCCTGCCAGAGAGCAAAGTGTCATGAAGGATTGGACGGAATGGCCGGCTTCTTGCGCCGACAAACAGAGACAAAACAAGTGTGTTCGCTAGAGATGGAATACTTACTTCAGTTGAGGACCACACGCTCCGAATCTAAAACCCAAACCCACAGTTGCCTGCAGGTGAGACATCGCCTGTTTAAGATCAACTCGCAGCAGTGCCCCGGCATGAATCATTAGATTTTTCTGTGGACGCGCTTCAAAGCTCAGCCGTATGTTTGCCAAGCCCTGTGGCTTTGCTCGACGTTTCCCTGTGGAACGTCGCGACATTCTCGATTTGAAGGTGCTTACTACTACTAGAAGACCTCCTGCACCCTTAAACATGTATAGCTTAAGCTCTGAAAGCTTTGGTTCTGTGTGCCCTGCGGTCCTGTGAAGGATTGAGTACGATTCCGAACTCTTCCCGAAAGATGATAGCCCTTGAAAATGTCAGGTGTCGTCTTGTTTGGCAGTCCACTTCAGTGAACTGCCATCCTACCCTAAATCCTAAACCCTAAGCCCTAAACCCTAAACCGTAACTGCCGTCATGTTCGCAATGTTCAGGTTGATGCTAGATTCTGCTGGATTGGTTCCACGCAAGGACTTTGGCATCCGGTACGGTATTGTAATAAGGGTGGTTGTCAAAATTATGGTCCCTTTTGGGGTCCTTATTATAATACGGCACCTATTATTTAGGGTACCCCAAAAGGGACCCTAATTTTGACAACCACCCATATGATCGACATTCCTATGTGTACGCTTCGTATGTACATGCATATCTACAAAGATACATGACAGGTGTGCATAAATTCAAAGATACATGAATCTACTATATCTATGTGCCTGTGTACACCGATATATCTACATGTTTCTATATGTACACGTTGGTGTGTATACTATAGGCGTATCATATGTATGTGTATATACGTACATGCATACACTTGCACATGCATATACAGGTACACATACATATACATGTACATACCCAGATGTAAGTGCACACACGTATGTATGTATGTATGTATGTATGTATGTATGTATGTATGTTTGTATGTATGTATGTACGTATGTATGTGTATATATATATATATAGAGAGAGAGAGAGGGTTATCTAGAAAACCACTAAACGGATATGAAAATAGATGCATATGCAAGAACAGCAGATAAACAGTTAGACAAGCACATAACTAAGCAGGTATACATTTCGAGTACATAAGCAAATATATCAATGCATACATAAACAAACCAATATCAGGTAAACTCATAAGCAGATAAAACATAAACTAAAATATAATCCAAAAGATACTAGTTAACTGAATAGAATACAGGGGTGCTGAATAGAAATAAGTAAGCTTATGTCTAGTCATGCAAGTAAAGATGAGCATATTGATGCACACAGATACTTACATGAACGTATATATATTTATATATATATATATAATTACACATTGATACACATGTCAAGGCACATGTACAGAATTTGCTCCTAGCTATCTTCGCCTCTCCGTTCCCGTGGATTTACTTGTGTACCCAAAAACCTACCGTTCTCAGGGTTCTATCGTCTCATTTTAAGGGGCCGTAAACTTCATGTTGTAGGGTTTGGGGTCACAGGT